CAGGCGGGAGGTGGGGAGGAGGATGCGTTCTCTTTCCAGGGGCTGCCCTTCGGAACCGCACTCTGGAGGATCGGGGGCGGGGGGGAGACGGCCCCCTTGGAAAGCCGGAAGGAGGAAATAGAAGCATTTGTGTTGGCAGGTGGGGAGGGCGGGCCATGTCATTCGGAGATTTAGCCCCCCCCCTTTTCTTCTTGGTCGCAAAACCGGAGATAGGGGATGGGAGCTGCCCTGGAGTGCCCTTTTCGCTTTTCAGAGGAGCCCCTGGCTCGTGACTGAGGCGGCTGGCCCGAGGCCTTCTGGCCTCCTTACTGGAGGCTGAGCCCCTTGTTTTTTCCCCAGGAGGGAGGGGCTAGTCTGGGCACCTTCATCTCTTTTTTCACTGGCACCTTGGACAGGGGTGGTTGGGGCCGGGCCTCACCTCTTTAAGACGCCTGAGGCCAGGGGTGAAGAATGGTGGCATTGTGGTCACGGGACCAAAATTATGTAACCTCAGGCTCTCTCCTGGAGAGTAAGGTGGCTTTTAATTACTGTGACAAAGTTACTCCTTTGGACTTTGAGGATGAGATAATGGAGCAGGTGAGCTTGCTGGCAAAATGGTGCCACTTCCATACTTTCACTTTGGGGCCTGTAACCTGGCCCCACCCCCACCCCTGGATTTGTAAACAGTGCCCCCTTCTGAGTGGTAACCTGGAATAAGCCACCAGGTGACACTAGTTTTCTTCACTTACAAAGGGCTTTATAATATCAGAACATTCTCCCTGCGCTGCTTCGGTACCTTTCCTCAAACCCATTGAAGTTGCTCCATTCTTCTCATCTCCATTGGTTTTAAAAATGAAAATGTTGATTTGCCCAAGGTCACATAGCTAGTCAGGCCTTGAACAGGGTTCTCCTGATCGTTCTTCAGCACCATGCAGTGCTCACAGACTCCACTTGAGGCTCTAAGTTTTCCTCTCTGGGGTGTGTGGACAGAGGGTGCTGGTCTCCTTCCCTTTTGCTTTGCCAGTCTGCTGAAATGAAACCTGCGTTTGACAGTGCCACATGAAGGTGCTTTGGATATGGTCTGGGGCTCAAGGGCTCCCTGGCTGGCAGCTGGTTGCGTGCATTCTGGCATCAGGTGCAGGCTGAAATAGTGGCTGGGAGTTATGCTTTCCCTAGCCCAGCTAGCCCACAGGCTAGTGTGGACTCAGAGGTCAAGGTAGCCTGGAGTGATATTAGGGATATGTCCTTGAGTAGACAGGCTCTTGTCTAACCTTGTATCAGATGTGCTGGAATGACAGCATCTTTTGTCTATTGGGCTGGGCTACAGACTGGTGTTTTGGGGGTGGGATGGGAGGGATTGTTACTGCTCTGAGTGATGGAACTGGTCAAGGACAGAGGGCAGGATATTGCAGCTCATCCTCTCTGTTCCTGCAAAGTACTTCACATGCTGCCAGGCAGGTCCTGAGATTCCTCTCATCCCAGGAAGGGTCTATACAGAGTCTGCCTCAGAACTCCGGTTGCTCTAGGATGAATGGCCCAAATAGCAGGGATATGAAACAATAATAATTCTTCACCTTCCTTAGGCATTTAAAGAAATACCCTGTATCTCTGGGTTTTTCCTAATCCTACGTTTTTTATGTAGGGGAGAGAAGACTTTAGCGGTCCTATGAGGAAAATAAGATACTCCCCCCTGTTGTAATTCCTTTTGCTCTACCTAATAGGTCAGTACTTTTAAAATGAGTAAAGATTTGACAAAAGGAAGCAAAGATCCAGAGAAATGACAACTCAGTGTTGGAGCTAGGTTTAAAATCCAGGGCTTTCAAAAATATATTGAGCTTTAAAGAATAAATATTGTACTGAGGAGAGTGAGGAAACAGGGAAGAATGGGTCAGAGACATAATGGCATGTGTGACCAACTGGTCAAGTCTGACTCTGCCTTGTCTAAGGGGCATTTCAGCTCTGAATACTTAGGAGAAGGTGTAGTTATTGTTATCTCTACCCCACTGGGTGTCAGTGGCCAGGAATGTACCCTACCCATTTTGTTTGTATAGAGCAGGGGTTGACAGCCTTTCTCTGTGAAGGGCCAGATAGTAAATATTTTAGGCTTTGCAGTCCCTTGCAGCTATTCAACTCTGCCATTGTGTAGCATGTTCATATGAAGCTTTACTTTACAAACAGGTGGTAGGCTGAATCTGGCTGATGTACTGTCTCTTGTCTAGACTGTCCTTGTTTGTAGATGCTCTCGTATAACCTTATAACAACCCTTATTGGAGAACTACCTTCATTGCTAAAATGGAAATAATCAAATGCAGGAAGGCCAAATGATTTGTCCAAGACCACAAGAATTCAAAGTCAGCACCAGAAATCAGGCCTACTGATTCCTAGTCTGTCTGCTTTTTACCATGACACCAATGATGTAATAATGGTCATTAAACCTATGCCACCTGCTTTGCCCTTGGTATAATCTGAAGCTTCCATTTTACAGATGATGACATGAAAGCACAAAGGTGCCCAAGGACTTGACTAGTAGATGATATATTGTAATATCCTGGCTATCAGTGCTGTTCAGAATATCAGAAATAGGTAAGGTTTAGAGTTGGAAAAAAATCTCATATTACATTTGATAAAAACTGATGGTCTATTATGTCTTTTTTTTCCTGTTTGCCCTGTGTTTCCCAGGGGTGAGAACCATGACTCTGCTAAAAGCTTAGACGTGCCCTCTCCTCTGCCCCTTTGTTTTCTGTTGCCCTTGCCTTCTGTGCTCCCCTCTCCCGCTGAGGCCCCGCACCCAGCAGCTCATATTTAATGCCCATGGCATGGAGTTGTCAGCTTCATCTCTCTGTTCCTTCTGCAGTGTCACGATGTCTGACCGGAAGGCAGTGATTAAGAACGCAGACATGTCTGAGGACATGCAACAGGATGCTGTTGACTGCGCCACGCAGGCCATGGAGAAGTACAACATAGAGAAGGACATTGCTGCCTATATCAAGAAGGTGTGCCAGGAGAGCTGTGGCTGATGGCCAGGGGTGGGGATTGGCAGCTGAGCTGCCCTCTAGGGAGGGCTGGAACTGGGGCCATAAGAAAGCAGGTATATCCCATGCAAGTAAGACCCTAGGAACTTCCAAAGCAGATAAATTAGGGAGAGTGAGACTGAATTGTCAAAGCATTCACCTTGGCGTTTTTGTTTTTGTTTTTGTTTTTGTTTTGTATCAGAGTCTCACTCCATCGCCCAGGCTGGAGTGCAGTGACCACCCCAGCGTCAACCTGCTGGGCTCAGGTGATCCTTTCGCCCCAGCCTTCCAAGTAGCCAGAACTACAGGTGTACACCACCACGCCCAGCTAATTTTTTTTTTTTTTTGAGTTGGAGTCTCATTCCATCACCCAGGCCAGAGTGCAGTGGCACGCTCATGGCCACCCCAGCATCGACCTGCTGGGCTCTGGCGATCCTTCCACCTCAGCCTTCCAAATACCTGGAACTTCAGGCATATGCTACCATGCTCAGCTAATTTTTTATTTGTTTTAAAGACAAGGTCTTGCCAAGTTGCCCAGGCTGGTCTAACTTTTTCATTTATTGTATATACGAGATCTTGCCAAGTTACCCAGGCTAGTCTTGAACCCCTGGGCTCAGGCTGTCCTCTTGCCTTGGCCTCCCAAAGTGCTGGGATTATAGACTTTAGCCACCGCACCTGGCCAAGGCATTCTTAATAGGAGCTCTGCTGAGGTTTTGTGTTTACATTTATAGATAATTGTGTGACTCTAAGGCTTTGGGGAAGAATAAGACTGCAGAGACACTTCAGAGTTAAATATTTCTGACCCAGTTCAGAACTTTTCAAAATTAAGATCAAGGATATTTGAATAATTAATATAAGATGTACACATTTTCTGGTAACTGCATTATTGAAAGTAGGGCGTGCTTATCATAATTCCTCATCATATAGGAGGTTTCCCTTTGTTTCCCTTGAAAAGGACTCAGGTATTGCATCATCCCCTTCTCCTTACTTTCTTAAGAAAAGGGTGGGCTTGAATATACAATTTTTTTTTAAAAATGGGTGACTGGATATGGTTAACATGGTGAGGAAGCAGTGGAACCAGACGTAAGAAGGGGTTACTGGGGCCTCCTGATTTTCAGTCAGGACCTGTATCCATTGGAGGCATAGTCCCAGTCTTTGATATTCTCGGCTCTGGCATCCCAAGAAGGATGTGTGAGAATGATGGCAGACTAGTCCATAGAAGTGACAGGTCTTCCTTTAGTTTTGCAGAACTGTTTTTCTACTCAGATAGATGGGATGAAAATTTGTGTGTGTGAAGCCAAGGGGTACAGAGCTAGCTGAAGGTGCCAGTTCCTTGTTGTTCTGTCCAGGGAGAGAATCCAGAATCATGTACTCCCAGAGCCAGAAGAATCCCTAGGTTAACTGATCAGCTTTCTTGTTTTGCCGATGGGGCATTGAGACTCACAGGAGTAGCTGTGGTTCTCCAACATTACACAGTCTTGAGTCAGGATTGAAGCTGGGGTTAGCTTTTACTATTCCCTAGTACTTTTTGGACTCATGTGGTACGGAGGCTGTGAGAAGGCTAAGCAAGTTGTATGTTGAACACTTGGTGGGACAGAGATCTCCAAGGTTGGCAGCACTGGTGGGCCCATGGTGGAGGGCTGCTGCCCTTTCTTTGATGGCCATGCAGGATATGTCTAGAACTTAGCCTGCAGGCTGAGCCACAAGACAGCAGGTTGCTTGTCTGATTAGCTCACAAGGATTCCTTGTGTGGTTTTGATGCTTAACTTCTTGTACCCCTGAGGGAGGTCAGGGAATTACCTTGATCTTATGGCTGAGATCCTTGTTCTGGTGCATACAGTCCACATAGTGCCTGGCACAGGAGATGCCTTTAATGTTGTTTTATATAGAACTGCTTCCTGGTACTACTGATGTTTGATACCCATTTTATTCTAATGTCTTGGTTTTTAGCATTTGGAAATGCAAGTTTTGTAATGTGTGAGGTGGCGGTGGCAGGTCCCCATTTGTGTCATGCTATGTGACACTGGGTAATCTTTTTATTTCACTGGACTTTCTGATTTTCATGCTGAAGAATCCCAGGGTGGGCTATTGGTGGTGTGAGAGTGTGAAGTTAGCTAGGAGGAGAGATAATCAGGGTGTAGAGGGCTGAAGGCTCAGGGGAGAGGAATAATGGAGCCTTTGTGGTGTTCCATTATTAATGAGGAGAGGAGTGTCCTAGCCAGCCTTAGAACCTGAGCTCCTGAGGTTTGGGGAGCTGAGGCCATGGGCTGGGGTGAGTGGGAGTGATAATGACTAAACATATGTCGGTGTTGGAGTTGCAGGAAGAGACTCCCATTTGATTCCTCATGTTCCTGCTACCCTAATCACCTTTCTTCTGCCCCTTTTATTCTTTTTTTAGGAATTTGACAAGAAATATAACCCTACCTGGCATTGTATCGTGGGCCGAAATTTTGGCAGCTATGTCACACACGAGACAAAGCACTTCATCTATTTTTACTTGGGTCAAGTTGCAATCCTCCTCTTCAAGTCGGGCTAGGTGGCCGTGGTGAAGGTGTCAGTGGCGGCGGCAGCGATGGCAAGCAGGCGGCGTTGCTGGGACTGTTTTGCACTGGGGCCAGCATCAGGATGTCCTCTCCAATGGCTGTGCTACTGCATGGACTGTATACTCGATTTCATGTGTATGTCGCAGTAAACAAAACCAAACTTCTTTCTGTTTAGTTGCCTGGGGAAGAAGGCTGCTTTATGTTTATTTTTCAAAACTTTAAACAATTTTTTTGGTTGTATTGCACTAGGAAATCTCTCCCACCTCTCCCTTTTCTCTTTCTCTCCCTATACAAAATAAAAAGCCCTCAACAAAACTGGAAAGACTAGGAGGGCTGAGGAAAAGAAATAGGTCTCTGGAGGTGGAACTAAAACTGTGCAACTGCCTCTTCCTTGTGGTGGATGCTGCTTTGGGAGGGCCCGTAAGGCTGCAGGGGGACAGTGTTAGGACTGGCAAGGAGAGAGGGATAGAAAGGAGAGTGGAGGGATTGATCTAGTACCAGGGAGAATATTCCACTGAACTGTGATTCTGCTTGGGGCAGAGGGTGGGGTAGGGGTGCATTCTTTAAGGGGCCCTGAGATATGTTTGTCTGTGGTGTGTGGGAGTGGGGAGCAGACTTGTCTTGCTGTCTCTGTCAGAATTTCTAAGTAAGGGCTGTGTCTTTGTGGATTACCTTCTTTTGTTCTCCTGCCAGAGATCATGCTAGGAGGATGTTGGGGGAGGATTAGCTTGTGTTTTGTTTTTTTTTCCTTTACATTTTTTTCTCCTTCTGTCTGCTCCCTACTTAGGTTTTCTCATTCCTCTGGAGTTCTCTTAGAGCAGCCCCTGTTGTTAGTTGGCTGGCAAGGGAATTTCTGGTGACTGTAGTTCCTTAGTTAGATCTTAGCAATCAAACCAAATCAATGTGTCCCTTGACTCTCCTCTGTGTGTGTATGTGTGTGTGTGTGTATGTATGTGTGTGTGTGTGTGTGTGTGTGTGTTTGGGTTTGGGATAGAGGGGAGGGGGAGGGGGCAGGACAGTGGAATCTCTAGGGTGTGTGGGGAGGTAGGGGCCACAGTTAGTTCTAAATGGGCCTTTATGTTAAAAGTCTTTGGGGGTAAAGACAGGTGTCACCCCCTTCCCCCACCAGTCATCTAGCCCAGACTCTGCTTGCGTTATGGCCATCTCTGCTCCCTGGGAAGGCTTTAGGGGAACTACCCAGGACAGGATGGCTGTGCCGCCGTCTGCTCTGGAGCTGGGTCTCAGTGGAGAGGGACAGTAACTGGATGTTTGCAGCCTCTGGTGGGAGGTGAGGATGGAAGTGATAAAGGGCTGAAAGGGGCTTCAGGGACTCATTGGAGGTCAGTCCTGCAGTAGTAAAGTAGATATCAGGAGATGGAGCAGGGCCATGAGGGGAGGAGATTCCAAGAAAGATGCAGGGGAAATCTTGTCTGTTAATGAAATAGGAATGGGGTGGGGTGTGGGGTGGGGTGGTCATTGCTGTTTGAGCTACTGATTCTCATGAATCGCCTTCAAAACTCATGTGTAGGGTTGACAATGTGGGGGTGGGGGATCCAGCTCTTTCTTTTATTTTCAAGTCCATTCTTGGGGCTAGTGGGGAGGCAGGAGAATGCCCCCTCCCCAAGGCTATAGTGTGTGCCGAGCTTGCTTTTGATGCTGGAAGGGGAGGGTGGGAACTGGGGTGGTGACTGAGTTCCCTTATCAAACCCTTCAGTGGGCAAGATTGAGTGCTTGAGTTTAGGTTTTATTTTTTTATGAATGTCCAAATCTGTGTTTCCCCCTGCCCTCCAAGACTTGTGTGGCCAGTTGGCAGTGTCTGGTTTGTGTTCATCTCTCCCTCATTTCTGGGGCAGGGGCTGAGACCCTGCCACATCTCCTATGCTCTGCATCCACGCCTCTTTTGGACATTAAAGGTTGATTGATGCACTTCTTCATTGTTTGGGTTTCTTTGGGGGTGTGGGGTTGACCTGGTAACTGATGCCACACAGTGGGTGGGGTTAGAGGCTATTTAGGTTGGATTAGGATGGGAACTGGAGAGGTAAGACTAGGCAAGAGATAACCAATTGGCTTGAAGCAGGACTAATTTGTAGGGCGTAGTTTATGCCCCTTAGGTAGGGGAGAACTGACCAGCAGTACTCAGCCACAAGGTTTCCTGGGTCCTACCTCCTGTGATGGGGATAGCTAGGGGAGCCACCTCTTGGGTCTTTGGTGTAGTAAATGGTTTCTTCTTGACTGGCATCCTGAATGAGCTTGGCTTCTTAGAAGCTTTGGCCAAAACTCATAGCTCTCCTGCTTCCCTTGTCTCGACTTCCCTGAGCCTGGTGACTATATTAGTAAAGTTCTGCTCTGACCCCTTAGAAATAAGAAAGCTGAGGATCTTCAGAAAATTGGGACCTGTTTTGGTGGAACCTGAGTGATTTTCTGACTCAGGTTATCCCAGTTGTCCCACTTGGGAGTTGCTGCCCCCACGCACAACTGGAGAACTCAGCAGTGCCAAGACTTCTGAGAGTGTCTTGTCTGCCCAGCTCTGGCCTTAAGCTGTTTGGCTGCAGTTCTCATGGAGATGTTAGGGAGCCAGAGGTGCTTTGCCCTTTTTCCATTGTCATTTATTCACTCAAAAAGTTATACTGAGTTCTGTGTGCTTGGGCCTCATGCTGTTCACATAAGAAAATGAGACAGGCAAGTTCTATGGAGTGCCTTCTAGTGGGTAGAGCAAACACATGCACACTTGATCAGCCTTTCCAGCAGTGATAAGTGTGCTATTAAGGAAATACACGGAGCAATGAACTACTGATTGCTGGAGGTCGGTATATAGGGTTCCTTCAGTTAGGAAGTTGGTTGGCTTGCCTCTGGGGCAATGAGGTCCTAAGGGATTAAGACAAGGAACTTGAACCCCAACTTCTGTTACTGCCTTTGCTAACATGAGTAATTTGACAAAATTGAAACCTTGGCTGAGTGAGGCCATAGTTCACTTTTCATCTGAGATGAGTGTCTCCAGGGCCAAAGCTCAACTACTTCCTACCCTAACAGAAGTGGCAAACCATGTGGCATCTGTAGCCAACACATCTTGCACAGGTAAGTGCACCGTGCTCATCTGGAGCTAATCCTACAGAGCTTCCTGGAAGGAGACAAGCCTCTATCATGTGGAACCAGGTGGAGGAAGGATGTGAGGATGGGTTACAGGGAGGGGCTGTGGAAGGCAGATGGCAACTGTGGAAATCTCTTAGAAGAACAAAGCCACTATCGGATCTGTGGCTGTGGAAGCATCAATATCCCCACCTCTCTTGTCCTGTTCTCTAGTCTTCTGGTATCTCCCCGTGACTGAACTCAACTGAATGGCAGACATCAAAGTGAACCCAGGGATGCAGTCTTTATGAGTCAGTCCCTTCCCCCAGAGAACAGCAAGAATGAGCAGCATGGGGAATGAATCTAAGGGAGACAAATGGAGACTAGCCAGCATGAATTGTCTGTTGTCACAGTGCTGTCAGTCTCTCTCTGCTGAACTTTGGTGCCCTCTAGCCTAGACAAGGGGTGGACTGTCTCCTAAATTAATTCCTTACCTCCTTCTGGTTTTTGCTCAAATGTCCTCTTATCAGAAGGGCCTTCCAACATCCTGGATGGAATAGTACCTCTCCCCCTGTCATTATTAATCTTACCCAGTCTAATTCTGTAGAGTACCTGCCAAGACTTGAAATATTTGTTGCCGGTCATAGTGGCTCACACCTGTAATCCCAACACTTTGGGAGGCAGAGACAAAAGGATTGCCTGAGCCCAGGGGTTTGAGACCAGCTTGGGCAACTTGGTGAGATCTTGTCTCTACAATAAATCAAACTATTAGCCAGGTGTGGTAGCGCACGCTTGTGGTTCCAGCTACTTGGAAGACTGAGGTGGAAGGATTGCCTGAGCATAGCAGATCAAGGCTGTGGTGGCCCTGAGTGTGCCACTGCACTCCAGTCTGGGCGACAGTGAGACACCAACTAAAAAAAAAAATGTGGTGTTTGTTTAATTTTTGGTCTCCCAAAACTAGAATATAAGCTCTTTGAAAGCATTTTCTCTTAGCTATTTTATCTTCAAGTGCACAGAATGGTGCTTGTCCTATAGGAAGTGCTTGATAGATGCTGTTGGGCAAATGAAAAAAGAGTACAAACAAACAAGCATGGGCAGTCCCAGGGTCCCAGAGCAGCCTGGCCTTTCCCAAAGAGGGTTTCTGCCTTAGGCATGGCTCCATCTTGCTGCCCCGGCCTTGCCAATTGTTCAACCTTTAGCCTCTCCCTTGCCTGCTAGCTATGGAAGAATGAAATGGTATGTTCATAAAATGCATTTTATTTTTGAAGCATTTAGTTTATGTTGCTGAAATCTCAGAGTACCCCTCCACAGTCATAAGCAACATTCTTTGATAAACAAACCGAATCAGAGAGGGTTAGTGACTTGGCAAAACACGTAGCTGGTTGTGTTACTAGAGCTCAGCACTGACTTCGAAGGGCTTCACTGGGTTTGGCAGCTGGGGTCTCACACTCCTTAAGTTTTAGGTCTAAGCTCCCTGAGTTTAGTTGTGAATCCCCAACGTTCCCTCTCCCGGGGCTCTGGTTTGGCAAGGACATGGAGGATAATTTCCTCTTTCCTTCCTCATGTGTCCCCTGTACCAAGAATTAAAGATTTGCCCCTTCTTCCTCAAGGCCTCATGAGAGGGAACATGAGTGTTCTGGTCTTTGAAGAGAGAGCAGACTCCCCTGAATTAAAAGCATAACCTCCTCACCATCCTAGTAACAAGGAGAGACCTATCATCTGTTGAAAAGGTCAGGCGTACCTGTATGCATATCTCTGTGACATATAAGGGCTTGGTGTTCATACCAATATTCATGAATACTCTTACCCACAGACTGCTACTGTGCCAATATAGAGGTTTATAAGAAAGATAAAAGAGAATCCCAGGTTTCTACTGCCTCTCTCCTCCCTCCCTTTGCCCAAACAAAGGTGTGCAGTGTTTGTGGTGAGGCTGTTAGGCATTGCTGTCTTGGGCTTTCTAGAGAAAGGCCAAACTTGGAAAAACAGTATGGTGGTACGGGTAGAACAAAGGATCTAGGATCAAAAGACCCGGGGTTGAGTGACACCTCCAATACTTCCCTCTGATGAACTTGGACAAGTTGCTTGACCTCTCTGAGCCTCAATTTCTTCAGTAAAATGGAGAATAATATGTCTTTTTTAAAGGAAAAGATCAAATGACATCATGTACAGGGTCTGACAATTAAGTTCGAGAACTTGCCACCATGCACGTAATGTTGGCAGCTCTTTACAAACAACTTGAGACATATCAGACTCACAGCTGTGTTCATGTCAACGTGTGGCAGTGTCTTGCTGAGTGGCATTCATCATCATTATTATTATTATTATTATTATTTTTTGAGTTGGTCTCACTCTGTCGCCCAGACTACAGTGCAGTGGCCACTCCCGGCCACCGCAGCCTCTACCTGCTGGGCTCCAGTGATCCTTCTGCCTCAGCCTTCCAAGTAGCTGGAACTACAAGCATGCGCTACGACACTCGGCTAATTTTTTAATTTATTGTAGAGATGAGGTCTTGCCAAGTTGCCTGGGCGGGTCTTGAACCCACGGGCTCAGGCAATTCGCTTACCTCAGCCTCCCATGGCGCGGGATTACAGGCTGCGCCACTGAGCCCGGCTTTATTATTATTATTATTGTTATTATTTTGAGTTGGAGTCTCACTCTGTCACCCAGATTGGAGTGCAGTGATACTCTCCTGGCCACTGCAGCCTCGACCTGCTGGGTTCCAGCGATCCTTCCTCCTCAGCCTTCCAAGTAGCTGGAACTACAGGCGTGCGCTACCACACCCAGATAATTTTTGATGTATTGTAGAGATTAGGTCTCGCCAAGTTGCCCAGGCAGGTCTCGAACCAGCGGGCTCAGGTAATTCCACTCACCTCAGCCTCCCAAAGCGCTGGGATTACAGGCTGAGCCACCGAGCCTGGCTCATTCATTATTATTGCTGCATGTTTTTTGTGTACCATCATGAGAATGTCTAGAGCATACACCATCTCCTGAAGGTCACTGCCCCAACCCTGCTTGAATTAGAGCAATAAACAAACATTAAATTTCCATTAACCTTGGCAAGAGTGGAAGTGAAATCAGGGATGTGTTAGTCCAAGTTTATGAGGATAATGCCACGAAGAAAATGGCAGTGTACAAATGGATTAAATGGTTTTCTGAAGGGAGAGAGCATGTCATTGATAAAGAAGTCAGAATGTCTAATAATGAGCAGAACTGACAAAAACATTGCAAAAATTTGTCAAATTGTGCATCAAAATTGTCAGCTGACTTTGAGAAGCATTTTAGACCAAATAAACTTAACAGAAAATCTTGGTATAAGAAAGGTGTGTGCAAAATGGTCCTAAATGTACCCTTGCATTACAACAATGCACCAGCTCTCACAGCACTGTCTGTGAGGGAGTTTTTAGCTAATAAACAAATAACTCTTGGAACACCCTCCCTACTCACCTGATTTGGCCCCCAATGGCTTTTTTCTTTACCTGAAGATAAAGGAATATCGAAAGGAAGACATTTTGATGATTTCGATGACATTCAGGACATCAAGGGTAACACGATAACAACTCTGATGGCCATACCAGAAAGAGTTCCAAAATTGCTTTGCTGGGTGGACTAGGTGCTAGCGTGGGCGCATAGCTTCCCTAGGGGAGTACTTCAAAGGTATCTGCAGTGATAATCAGCAATGAAGTATGTAACACTTTTTCTAGGTTGAGTTTGCAAGCTTAATTGTTCGACCACATATGTGAAAGTGCTTTAAAATTGGAAAGTGATGACAATGATAAAGATACTGATTATGAGGTTATCTAATAAAGCTTGGGGAAAGAATAAAGGATTCTGGGAAATCAGGCCCTCCAAATCCTTCTTCATACC